TCCAAGGAGGTTTTATGGATTTTCCAAAATCCCAAGGGGTTTTCGCGTATTTCACATTTTTCTCTCTCACCAAAGCACTTTTTCGTACAAATAATGCCATATTCGGAATCACCGTGAAAAACTACGCCGAATGATATATAGCTTTTTAATTTTTCTGCAGAAATATTTTCGGTCAAACTGAATTATACAGTTGAAAGCCTGTCCGCAGCAAATTTTGCTTAGGAAGTTGGATATTGTCCAAGTTGTCGTTCTTGGTAACGGTAATTACCATTACCAAGAACGACAACTGTTCAACAGTTACCGTTACCGAGTAACGGTGGTAACTGTAACTGGTAATTGTCACAACCCTAGTGAGCATTCAGTTTGTGTTTCGTACTTTCAAAAATGTGCTCTTTCTCATGGTCTATAAAAAAAATATTTTAGAGCAGATGGGATGCTGGAGAACGAAGTTACAAAAATTGACAACCTTCCCGTTTCCAACAATGTGCTCAAGCAAGACACGGAAAACGTCATTGAAGTTTTGGTTTTACAGTTAGATAGAGAAGAGCAATCATTTCTGATCAAAACAAACAAACCCGATCGAAAAAACTTTTACTCGAACAGAGTTATGGGACTTTCACTCAAAGCACTACTAGACTCAAAATTTAAAAAATTAATGAAAAAATCCATGACAACTGATAGAAAAACTATTATTTCGCCGTGGCTTTTGATGTGAAAAATTTTGAAGTATAGCTAAAAAATAGAGCGCAGTCAGGGCTACAAAATGGCTAATTCAGTTTTTCTTACTTTCAAAACGTTAACACAAGAAATCATTTTTGATTTTAGAAAATTTTCAGTTTTTTCGACTTTCATCTAAATGGTTTAGTTTTTTTGATTGAAGTTCTGAAATTAGAGTTTAGGTATGATTTTGTAGAGTATTTCCTAGCGCATCTTTTAAAAAAAATATCGAGTCTCAGAAACAAATTCAAACCAAATTATAAGCAAAATACTAAGAGGCTCATTTATTCTGGGACACCCGTTCAATGTCAATCTACATGAATTGTAATAATAATAATCTGTTTTATCAATTTGAATAATATCTTGATATTCAGCAGATTCTTTTTCAATTGTTGAATTATGTGAATGTGTTCCTTAAACAAAAATTAAGAGTAAATAAAATAAAAAGATGTTCAAAGATAAAAAAAACAAAAATGTATTTTTTTTTTGTAAATGGAGCTTAAAATTAAATAAACAGTTTTAAGTTGTTGTTGTTTTTTTGTTTTAGAGAGCCGAGCCGAGCATTCATTACCACGGTTATAGAGAGAGCGCGCGCGCGCATATTACATACCCAAAACAACACTTGCAGAGCCTTACAAATAACAAATATAATAGAATTTTTTTTGTCAAAAACAAAATCTTATGTTTTTTTTTTCTTTCATTATTTACCTAGTACAAATGCTAATTTAATAGATTTTTTATATTTATTCAAATGACTACCCCATGTTAATCTTATTGCTTTTCGTGCTAGATAATTTCCAATTGCTGATTTAACCATAATAAGAAGATAGGGTGGTTTTGAACATAATTTTTCATTACTAATTATAAATGTATTTGGTAATTGATTTATATAGGGTCCACCAATATGTTGATCAGTTTCAGCTATTTCAAATATATCAACATATTTAATAGATTTACCATATTCTTGTTCAAAATTTTTTGTTCGTCCAATTCCAACAATATTACAAAACATATACATAATGATTATAATTAGAAAACATTTTACATAGGAACGATAACGACGGATAGGTGTGGGTAAATGACGATAAAGACCACTTAACATTTTAAACGATTTTTACGTGTTAATTTTATATATGACATGTTTTTATCTAAAATTAGAAATAAAATAAATGATGAGATATCAAATTTTTATTTTTTTCTTGAAACTTTTTATAGAGATGATATGATTGATTTGTTCAATCAATGTCATTTATATCACATGTAGATGAAATGTCTTATAGAATAATGTGCATTCTTGATATCAAACAAATATTTTTGAAGATACGTGGGTGCTTGTATTTCAAAAAAATTTGAATAAACAATAAAAAAAACAACAATAAACAAATAATAAAAAATAAATTAAATACATAAAATGCAAAAAATATTTTTATGTCTCATTTATTTTTTAATAAAAAATACATGATGACAACAACAACAACGATGATGACGACTAGAAAGCATATAAATAACAAACTACACAAATGTTACCGGTGGTTTAGTGGTTGCTGTTGTCTCTTGTGATGAAATATCATCAATATTATTATTATTATTATTATTATTATTATTACTCTCCGTTGTTGTAAGAGCATTATTAATCATCGAATAAGATGAATTACTTCGAATAAGTAAAACGGGTCCACCACCATACGTCTCATAGAGAAAATTCCATATTTTTTCACTTAATTGACGACAATTTGCAGCTAAGAAAATCAAAGAAAAAGAATGTATAGTCAGATAATATTACGATAGTTATTTACAGTATCCAAATCTCCTGATTTCAGAAGCTGATTTTTAAGATTTTCTCTTGATTTTCAATTGTTTTTCATGCATCGATTTTAAGCGACATTTTGAACCAATAAAAAAGTCGAGAAGAAAAAGAGAACTATCGTACAATGCATTCATGTTGCAAAACTACCACGGACGGTGTAGCAAACAGTTTGTTCTCCGGTCTTGTCGGTTTCTTAAGAGATATTTGTGTCTATTTTGTTTATACTATTAAATGAACAGCTGGAAAGCGAGCAGTGGAATAAACTACATGTGAATATATTCTCTCTTTTTCTTTGTTTCACTTGTAAGATAGACCTTCTCATGATTTTCTTGGTAGAAAAATGTCACAAACATTTGTGGGAATGAAAATTTTCCTTATCCAAGAAAAAACTGCATGATACTCTCCTGTTTTTCTCCTGATTTCGACGAAAAATCTGCTGACTTTTTACGAAAAACTTCTAATATCGAAAAATTGAATTTGGTATAAGCTTTATTCTGTCAGGATACAAGCGAAAAAATATTCCATTATAGTATTCTAAACTAACACTATCGAAAACAGAAAAGCAATTTTGTACGAATAGAGATTCGAACAAATGAACTTACCAAGTGACCTCGCGAACTGTCACATCGCTTTTTCAGCCAAACCTAGTGGATTATAGGTTATCCACTATGCTGAATCCGAATATCATAGTGGGAGCTGTCCAGGAGCCTTCTGAGAGCGGTTTTCTAGAAAACCAGTTTTTCAAAAACTCTAAAAAGTAATCAAAGCTTTTGTTAATAAGATATGATTGTAGCCCGCAAATTTCTGATTACAATGAGACATCTCCTAGCTCTATACGACCTTTCTTTGTAAAGTTTACAAGAAAAGCCCTAAATTAATTTCTTATTTCTGTGGCTTTGAGCTGACAATGAACATTTAGGGCTTTTCTTGTAAATTCTATAACTTTGTAAAGAAAGGTCATGTATAGTTGGAAGATGTCCCATTTTAATCAATGTGCGGGCTACAAGCATGGCTCATTAAGAAAAGCTTTGGTCGTTTTTCCGAGTTTCTGAAAAACTGGTTTTCAGAAAACCGAGTCTTCGAAGCTCTAAGAGTAGCTCCCACTAGGATATTCGGATTCAGCATAGTTCATAACCTATAATCCACTAGGTTTGGCTGAAAAAGCGTGTGACAGTTTGCGAGATTAGTTAGCTTTGCAGTAAACTGTAGAACTAAATCCACTGTTCTGTATCTATAGTTTGTACAACGATTGAAGTTGTGCAATCGACCCGATGTTATCAGTAGTCATTTTTTGGTATGTTTTTTGTGTTCTGTTTTTGGTATAAGCTTTATTTTGTCAGAAATATATACGAAAAAAAATCCTTCTGATTTTTCTCCAGATTTTTCACGAAAAACTTCCTTACGAAATTAAAAATTGGATTTGGGTACGCTGGTTATTTAACACTTACTTTTTGATGGTTTGCTTATACCATTTTTCGTTACAGATATTCCTTGATTTGATATTGGACCAGGCGGATCTAAAAGATAGACAAAACAAATAATTCATCTTTATTTATATTTGAGTTAGAACTATGAGATACTTGAAGATTTTTCACAAACAAAATTTTCCCAATCACGAAACCATGTTGGACTAAGTGCGTAGACAGCATGTGAATCTGATTCGTTACGTTTTAACTAAAAAAAGTATAGAAAACAAAAATAGATAAAATTAAAGTAAAAACATCTCATATTCATTTGTAGAGAAAAATGATCTTTTTAATTTGAGACGGTTTTTTAACCCATTAATTTACATAATTGACTACTCAAATTGTAAATTATAGCGACATGTCATCAGAATGGTTGTGATATATAAAATTTTCACAGAATTTCTATCATATTTTTATCGTCATTCGACATCTCAACTCTTACCTATATATAGAATTATTTCTTTGTGAAAGGCCCTATATACTAACAATATAGCCGATCAAATGTTTAAATGTGATAGATTTTGAAATAACTAATACAAAATACTGTATACCATCCATATTCAGTCATTTTTCCTCAGCATAATCATTTTGTCAGAAATTTAAAAGCACAAGACTAGAATTAGAACTTGACGCTTTTGGCAAATATATGCTAGGAAATTTTTTGCATCATTTTCGTATCGACACGAATATATGACCGAATCTCGAAAACTTAAAATACCGAAAGCAAAAACGCAGAATATTGAAAATCTGAAATGTAGAAAACAAAAATGACGAAAGTGTAAAATGTCGAATGGTAAAAACAATAAAATTGTTTTGATAATGGACTTGTATCTCCAAATTATTTCTTGCTCATGATTCTCCCGATACATCTGTGAATCGTTTGATTTAACTTTAATACAGAAACAGTAATTAAATCGGGCTGTGCCCATTGTATGACACTGGGAAGGAGAGAAAGAGACAACAAAGAAAAAAAAGAACTAAGCTGCCGACAATTCGAACTTTCAGTAAAAAAATGTTTTTTTCATCCTTTTATGTATGGTTCGATAGAGCGCGATGAGCTGAGTAAAAAATGCTTTTTAACTTTTGAAAAATATTCTTTATAGTGGGAACACTTGAAGGGGGTATCATACCACCAGTCACAAAAGTATGCATCCCTTTTCTCTCTATTTTGTTCTCTTGTTGAGAAATTGTATTTTCTCTGGTATTATAGCCATTTTAGACGGTATTCTGCAATTTTTCTGATTTAGTTCAAAAATTGCAGAATACCGTCTAAAATGGCTATAATACCAGAGAAAATACAATTTCTCAACAAGAGAACAAAATAGAGAGAAAAGGGATGCATACTTTTGTGACTGATGGTATGATGAATCGAACGAGATAAAATATTTGACGTCATCGCTTAACCAGATAAACTAGATAGGTTTACAAGAATGACTCATAACCATACAAGGGTGAAGGATGAGAATGCCCACCGTTAACAGGCCTTTTGAATCAGAACCGATTTAACATCCGTTTTTATACTCAATTTTTAACGCTGAATCAGAAAAATACATTCTCATAAACTGAAAAAAAAGGGCAAAGCAGATAATTTCGCATATTTTCAAAAATCATGTGTTTTCGAAAAAAACGGTCGCCTTCAAGTTTTTCGACCATAAAGAATTTTTTTCAGAAAAAGTTAAAAAACACTTTTTCTTACTCAGCTCATCGCACCCTATCGAACCATATATTAAAAGCTGAAAAAAAAATTTTTTTACTGAAAGTTCAAATTGTCGGCACCTTAGATAAATAAAAAAACAAAATAGTAAAATTGTAACAGATTAAAGCAGTATAGATTACAGAGATGAGAAGGATTTTCTGTGGCGACTACGTGAGTGAGATATAAAAAATTTTTACGTAAGAAAAGTAATTACTTTTTTTGAAATTCAATAGACAAGTCTCTAAAACCAAAGAGTAGAAAGTGACGAGAGAGAATAATTTGTGTGTTCAAAATGAAATTAATCGTAGTCATCAGTTTCTTTCGACCTTTTTGGTATTTCCTATCGATCATTAGTCAAATTGATCTGAGAATCTTTTGTTCATATACGGTCATTTTATTTCTATGTGAAATGTTTTGCCATCCTATTAACAAGTATAGACATAGCTATCATCTACGACGAACACATCGTGCTTCATTTTCTTATATCTTCTCACACTTATCTTCCCACCCTGCTACCCTGATATTTTATTGTGCTTATTCGGTTATCATTTTTACTATACAATATTTTGAACATACGAGTTCACTTCCAAAACTCATATTTCCGTTATTTTTACCGTTTGATATTCAGCATTTTCTACATTTCAGATTTTCGCCATTCTTATTTTCGATTTTGTGCATTCAAAGAAAATATCATCGAGAGTTAGTCAAAGAATTACTTATAAACGTATGTATTCATAAACTTAAGACTACTCTAAATCACAAAGAGCATATTTTGACATCATATCATTCTCGATTCTAAAGTAAATAGTCGCTTTTCATTAATAATTGATGCGATGAAACTAGGAGACGAGAAAAACTACATTTATTTAAGAACTAAATTTTGATAACTTTTCATTTTGCTTTTCGCAAATTTTTATGAAAAAGAATTATTTGGTAAAGTACAGACTATAAATGATTCTGATTATCCATTCTAAGCTGTGAACTATTTGATTGGTATGAGTACATGTAGTAGTTTTGTCGTATCAAAAACTTTTCTGTAAGGATCAGAAATCGACAACTAGACAGGAGAACATTGAATATGACACTCCTTTTCTTTCTTTTTTACATTTACCTCTAAAAAAGTTGCTTTTTCATATCGTTGTCGTCGTTTTAAATTTTCTTCATCTAATTGACATTTTCGACATGGATATAAAATATTGCATACAGGTCCTCCACCAAATTTTCGATACAAATATTCCCATACTGTTTCTGGTGCTGGATAAACTAAATTTTTAATGACACTCCAATAATTTGGTAATACACCACCATGTTTACATAGAAAATCATTATTTGTTATTGGACCCGGTTCAGCAAAATAAAATAAACGATTAATCCAACTTTTTGAGATATAAAATGGTAATAGACGATTCTAAATAAAGAAAAACAAAATACACAACTTATTAGTTTCAATTCCACTTAGTGTAGAACGAGAGAGAGATTTAATTCTCTACTGTCGTTATCGGAAACAAAAAATGTCAAAAACGAGTTTTTATCATATTTTCATAAAGATGTCATGTAATCTCATTAAAATAATTCTTCAAAACAAGTTGAATGAATTTTTTCAAATTTTTTCGGCGAGCGTACGATAACCTATTATTTTTCACTTTCTTAAATTATCTCTACACTTTAAAGAGCGGACAAAATTTTAAAATAATGTAAAATAATTTTTTTTTAAGACTGAAAACAATGTGCTAAAACATTATGATCATTTAACTGCTGAAATTCGCTCTATCTTTCGATTTCTTTTTAACGTAGGACTATTTCACAAAGCAGTGATCTTTTAGGTGAAACATCGCTTTGAAACGAATAAGAATTTTTCATTTTATTGCGATATATACAGCACAAAAACTAAATAAGAGAAAAAACAAGTTTGGAAGAACGTTTTTCAGAATCCCTGAAGATCTGGAGCTCAGTCGGAAACCGTAGAGCACTGCGGGATTCACTTTTTTAATCCCAATCTCGACATTATGATTTTATATTCTAACGACAGCTGTCACTTTCATGTTGCGTGTGTCCAGTTACAGGGAGATTCAAATACAGAAAGAATCCACGTGCGTGACGGTGAACAGTTAATATCGAAAAAAAAGAAACTGAAAATTGATGAAAATATAGTCTCCTGCTCTCTCTCTCTCTCTCTATACGGGCACTTAGATTGTTTCGGCTTAGAAATCGATATTTTTCGTTTTTCGTTCTGTTTTTCTAGTAATGTTTGATAAAAAAAGTCAATTTCAAATCTCGAAAAGCTCACGTTCATCTCGATTCTAGTTTAGTTTTAAATAAAAATGTTTATTCCAATTTCTCTCCCATCAGGAGCAACATTTTGTAAATAATACGTACTTGATCGTTATCCAATAAATGTCGAATATTATCGTATGTATCTGTTATATTTGACTCTTTTTTTCTTAAACAAAAATTGAGATTAATTGTAACAAAAGTAGAGTGTACAAGAAGGATATTTTACCTGTAGAATAGTATATAGGCATCGGCATTTTGTACTTGTGCTGCATCTACTTTTCTCACTTCATTATCATCAAATTCATACCATTCATTATTAATTGAATTTAAACTATACGTAGTATAATGACCACCTCCAGCTCGTCCATAATGAACAATACATGACAATAAATTATACATATACACATCATTTTTACAATCTAAATAATCATTACAATTTCATTAGGATATTTTAGTCGTTTAAATACATTGTGACGATTCTATTCTAATTTAAAAATTCTTTTTCTCAAATATTATTCTGTCATATTATATAGATTTGGACAGTGATCTCTCTCTCTCTCTCTCTACTTACCTTTATGTAAAAATTGTTTCATATCTAAATCGAATAGCGGAAATGTAACATAGGTACTAATTTTTGTGTAAACCAATGAATCATGACGAAAACGTTTTAAATGAATACATAATATCTGAAAAATAAAACATTTTTGTATATGAGATAAATTTCGCTAAGAGGATATAAATTTACTTCTGGTAATTCCAGAATTTTACAATATTTCATTCCATTTCGGAGTCTAAAAACAAAAAAAAATCAAATCTAGAAAAAATCTTCACTCTCTTATTCTTTATGTATTGTCATATCTTACTTTCCACATTTTTCACAACTATACATATTATCACCGGTAAGTTCATCGGCTGAAAAAAATGCTGATAAACAATCCTGTAATGTCAATGTGGGACCCCAAATATTATACGACCATAGACTAAAATATCAAATAAATAACAATGTAAGTCTACAAGACAAAAGATGTCAAAGACGACTATAACTTTTTGACCTTAAAGCGGGATATGTATGAGCTTGTAGAGGAAGACTTGTTCTATCCCGTGATTAGAGGCCTGCGGGACCAAACTTTTTTGGTCCGGGTTCCGTGAAGAAAAAAATTTTGGTTCCGATCCCGTAAATATTTTTTCAAAGTAGCACTGCTAGTTTGAAAGTCAGCGTTTTTGTAATGTGGTTTGTTAAATAGCATGCGTGGATGGTATTAATTGAAGATTTTTAGAATTTTCTATTAGTTCTTTCTCACAGAATTGATGTCTACATACAAACAAGCACCAGGACCGTCCCGAAGATCTCCAGATCCCAACCCTGTAAAAAGTCCCGCGGGATTGGGACTGGGAAGATTCCACAGATCTCTACCCATAGCTTCCATTTGGTCTTTTTACAGAGGGAATTTCTAAGGAGAAAGTGTCTTAGAGTCAAGGAGAAAGCCATTTTCGTGCGCATAGTGAAAATACTTTTTTCGAGGGAGAAAATTTCAGGGGGGAGGAATCTCACCCCTTTCCACCCTTGATCGTATGCGCTGCCTCCACCAGTAATGTATATATTGTAGAGATGGGACAAAAGACTTAAGTTGCGTAATAAGAGAACTAAAGAACATATCTTATATCTTTTTTTTGTTTTTGATATTCTGTCTTTTTCCCATCAAAAACATGTTTGATAGCAATCAAAACGAAAAGAAAAAGATAGAAAAATGAAAACTATTATAACAAAAGGAAAGGAAAGTCCTAACGTTAGTGATACGAAATGAATTCTTTTTTTTTTCTTCTTTTCTTTTATCTGACATATTCACAATAAGAACATTTAGTACAAAATTAAAACGTATTTCCTTTGTAAACGAAAGAAACACATTGTACAATTTCGTTAATGACATGTCGTTCAGTCATCTGCTACGTTACATCTTTATTCTCTTTCTTGTGATACATATTACGAAAATATTAACGGATTGTGACATGTTCTTTTACTGAAAAAAAGAAACAGACTGCTCCACAATATGTTCTTTTCTTCATTATAAGTCTTTCTGTTAGTCCAAAAGTCGAACGAAATGAGGAAATAAAAAGATATGTTCTGCGAAGAATAATTATAAACATGTCGGTAGTCTTTCGTCCTATCTCTAATATATTGTCGAACTCTAATGTGCACCGTCGGAGAAAATTAAAGGTAACCTCTCATTTTTTAGAAGTTTTTTATTTTTTTGATGTGCATTCTAAAGTAAAGTATCCTCTACAAAATAAGACCACTCCCGACTCTCCAAGGCCTTCGTTTGAGGAGAAACGAATTTTTTAAAGTTTGTTACTTTACGCTGAAAAAACTCTGTCTTTTTACTTTCGAAACATTTTTCTCTTCTATTCAATACTTGATAAACTATTGAAACTGTCAATCTTGTAGAGTAAAGTTTTCTTTACAAAATTAGATGTCTCCCAGTTCTCCACTATGTTTTCTGATAGAGTTAGGATCATTTTGGACGTTATGTCATCAATATGACTTTTTCAAAGGCTTCCAACAAAATGATCCTAACTCTATCAGAAAACATAGTGGAGAACTGGGAGACATCTAATTTTGTAAAGAAAACTTTACTCTACAAGATTGACAGTTTCAATAGTTTATCAAGTATTGAGTAGAAGAGAAAAACGTTTCGAAAGTAAAAAGACAGAGTTTTTTCAGCGTAAAGTAACAAACTTCAAAAAATTCGTTTCTCCTTAAACGAAGGCCGTGGAGAGTTGGAAGTGATCTTATTTTGTAGAGAATACTTTACTCTAGAATGCACATAAAAAAAAAAAAACTTCTAAAAAACGAGAGGTTACCTTTAATTTTCTCTGACGGTGCACATTAGAGTTCGACAATATATACATCACTGGATAGAGCAAGTCTTCCTCTACAAACTCATACATATCCCGTTTTGGAGATCAAAAATCACCCTAAAACTACTAGTCGCCTTTAAACGTACTTTTTTACTATTGAATAGAACCAATTAAACCATGTTGATTGTTGTTGATTTTTTACCAAATCTGATGAGTTTGAATTATTATTTTCAATTTGAATTGATGATAACGATGTTAAACTTGATGATTGTTGAATATTAGATGAAGAAATTGCCGATTGTAAACGAAAATTCTATAAATTAATAAAAATAGTTTATAAAAATTATTTTTTCAATAATTATGAATGAAATTTTCATACTTCTAACTGTTCTTTACTGGGTATAGGTAAGGATAAATCTTGAAATGTTTCAATAGTTGATGAACGACGATAACATGTCAAACATTCGATTTGAGATAATATACGACCATCAAATATTGATGAGATTATACTTTGAAAACGAGGTTTAACACATTTTGATGGCTGTTCTAAAATAGAAAGCAAGAGTATGTGTATGTGTGTGTATATCGATAACAAAAATAATTGATTATGATCAACTTACTTGCTTCATATTTGATATAACGTGGTAAATTATCATCGATATTTTCATCTTGTTGAACTGTTGTCGAAGGAGTTTTAGTACTGTAAACATTATGAATTAATGGTGGTGTCGCAGATAAGGATGGAGATAAATTATTTTGAGTTTGAGGAGTAAGTGTCGTCATACTAGAACTACTATTATTATTTTGTTGATTAGGACCATTGGTATTTAATGATACACCCGAATCTGTTCGACTAACTGATAAATTAGTTTGAATAGTATGACGAGAAGATCGACGACAGGTAAACTTAGAATATGGAGATGAAGAATTAGTCGACTTTTTTATGAATTCATTTAATGAACACGATGATGGTGATTGAATTGGTGATAATTCATCGAGACTATCGTTACAGGACGATGGTAAAGAATCACATGTTTCATATTCAGTTGTACTATCATCTTTAGATGGCGAACTAAAAAACAAATATTAAATTCAGAGACTATTAGAGATAGAAATTAGCTAATCAGAATCAACTGGTGAATAATGAACTAGGATACAAAGTTTAATTACTTACATGTACTTAACATTAAACTAAGATGTTAGCAGTTCATTAGCCAGGTGCTGCAACGACCGTTTTGAAACATCGAAACTTTCCGAAACGGTCGTTGTAGTACTTGACTAATGAACTGCTAACATCTTAGTTTAATGGTAAGTGCATGTAAGTAATTACTAATAACTTTGTATACTATTAGAGATGTAGTTACGGCTTGTCCAAACGTAACGGCGTGACATTTTTGACACGCTTATCTTATAATTTTCTCAAAAACTATAAGAGCTAGAAAGCTTATTCCAGCGCTATTCGACGCAGCTCGCTTTACTCTACTTATAGTGTAAAAATGAAGTTTTTCTGTTCAAGTTTCGAGCTTTCAGAAAGGCTTCTTCAGTGCGTAATAGTGTGACATAAAAAGGCCCTAAATTTTGAGAACTGGTGAAGAAGCTCCAATTTCTTGCAAAAGTATCTCTATCCAGCTGGAAAGTTTCAAAAGTCAGTTTCGTAGAACATCGAACGAGCTATTCAACGGTAAAAAAAATTTCTTCCAACTATTTTTGCTCGGGTATAAAATGCAAAAACCAAACGTAACCCGTGACATTTTTCGTAACGGCGTGACACACTTTTTTGTCGCACCATTTTCAGGCAATAAACACTGTTCAAAAAACTTCATACTTATAGTCTGTTTAGTTCTAACTTTCCTGAAAAGACTCCAGTTCAAAATAAAGTTCAAAAAATTCTTTGAAGCTTTCAGATCAAGGCGAAAGTTGAAATGTTTAAGCAGTCACTGTGCCTCGACTAAAAAATAGATTTCAAAACAAAATGAGCTATTTTATAGAGAATTGAATTCTCTATTTAATGGTATGTTTTTAAAAAATTTTGAACAAAATGTGTAGGTCGGAAAATTGCAATTAAAGTTTTTAAAAATTTTAATTTTTAAATAAATTCGTAAATTTTTTTTTTTTTTTATATTGAAAATTAATTTTTCGTGATCAACATGAAAAGCTGCGTCTAGTGGTGTGTCCTTATCGATTTTCGATGAAAAAAATTGATCAGCGAAGTGTCACAAGCCGTATAGTTGAAGAATATGACTGTTTTTAAACTATACCTGACTAAATGTGTATATAATTTTTTCTGTATTTGTTCATTTTGACTATCTGTTGCACAACTACTACTTGTATCACAACTACTTTCATTGCTATTGATTTGATATTGTTGCTGTAAATTGTCTTTATCAATATTTGAAATATCTTGACGCATTTCTTCATGTAATTGATCCATAAAACAACGTAAAAATTCTTGAGCATCCTACGAAATAAATAGGAGTTATGAATATATTCAATAAATTTGAAGTAAATAAATTATTTAATTTACTTGTTGTGTATAAGATCGAAATGATGGATTTATATAGCGAATTTCGGCTGCAATCGATGCGAGATTCATAGATGAATAACTAAAAAGAGTGAAAAAAGTTTAAAAAACAAACCATTTTTGTTATTGATCTAGAATAGTTTACCCGTCTTTGATAGATCTTCTTGACCACATTTCTCGACAAAATTTTAAATAACATTTTGTTAATTTTGTTGATGTCGGTTTTGATTGTTGATATTGAATAAAATTTGAACAGTCAAGAAAATAACTTGTCAATGGAATACTAAAAAAATACAAAAAAAAAGCATAGAAAGTACATGATATAGTTGAATACCTTGAAGTAGAGGTGGAATAGTTCATGTTCCTATAGTTCCTAAGAACTAGTAGCAGTTCGTGTTCTTTTGAAAAGAACAAAAGATCAGTTCACATTCTAAAGAACTGAACTGAAACTGTCTCACTACTACCTTGAAGTATGCACACAACACATTTATTCACTTTTTATCAGAAAACTGAGTAGATATTATTTTAATTTAATTGAGTTTTACAACCACTTAGCCAGAGACTCAAGCTCATTTCTCAAAGAATTAAAAGCAGATAACACTGCTGAAGATCAGACTATGCATCATTATGAAGTTAGTCACTATAAAATAGAGAATTATGACCTCATGTCTGTCTGTATTGTGTCAAAACTATTAATAATAGGAGGATGATGGGTGACCACTTCCTAGGATCGAACCAAAAGTATGATGCTTTTCACATTCCTCTCAACGTTTGTTGAGTAAAAGTTACTAGATACAGTTTACATTAAAGAATGAATCATTTCTGATAGAATGGAACGAAATATGGGCCAAAAGTGGGCTTCGCCGCTTCCCAAATTTCTCTATCATTTCAAATGCTAGAGAGCTCGGGTTGGTTTTAAAATGTAGTCCAGATCCGGGGCTACAACTTGACAGAGTCCGATATTTTTTTGTATTGCAGTATCTTTTTTTTTTAAGCTTACTTTATAAGATATGATAAGAATAGGGTGTATATTGTAAAACAGTTGAACCTCATGAGATATTAAACATAAAATCGAAAATTTTGGCTCTGTCAAATTGTAGCGCTGATCATTCCCTTCATTTTAGGACCCACCCCAGCTTTCTAGCGTTTAAAATTGTGGAGAAATTTGGGAAATACGGAAATGTGAAGACAAAAATCTATATTATGAGAAAAACGCAAAAGAAGTTTTCCTAAAAAGCTGATTTTCGTCAAATTTTTCGATTTTTTGATTTATAGTGTGTCAGATAGAGCAAAGTGTGGGATATCGAACGCACTCTAGTTTATTCATTTTATGATGAGTTTTGAAGATGTTACATAATTTTTTCTGGAACTTCATATTCTACAAAATAACATTTTCTCGAAAAAATGTATTATTGTTGGTATTATTATACGATATAAATTTATCGATATAAATTCCGATGATTTCATTCGGATTATAGGTGCAGTCCTTATTGATTTCACGGTGATCAGGACATAACCATATGGAATAAACAAAAGTTTTCACCATACGCTTTTGAATGTGCCCACTCAATTCTTTCTAATCGATGATCTACGTGAAATTACTCGAAACTTCTTTTTACACCATTTTATTGTAGAAAAAATCTTGAATTACACTTCCAAAACTTCTTTTGCGTTTTTCTCATAATATGGTTTTTTGTCTTCGCATTTTTTCGAGAAAATGTTATTTTGTAGAATATGAGGTTCCAGAAAAAATTATGTAACATCGTCAAAACTCATCATAAAATGTATAAACTATAGTGCGTTCGATAGCCCACACTTTGCTCTAACTGACACACTATAAATCAAAAAATCGAAAAATTTGACGAAAAACAAACTTTTTAGCGTGGGGGGGGGGGGGGGTTTTTGAAGCGACCCGAATATTGTACGGTGCCCGGGGATTGGGGGTGCCTTGCGGGTTGTGGGAAATTTAACTTGGTTTTTTTGTGGGAA